TCGATCCGAAGCACTTGGAACCAGTGTGACGAGATTAGCCGGGGCGTCAGAGAAGTGCAGTGAGAGCTCGATCGATTCATCCGTCGAAGACGACGGGCGAAGATAATCTGCGACACCAGGAGCCGGACCCCTTGGTTGAGCAGGAACGTCATCCAGGCGACCTGGAATCAAAGACGCCGCACCGCGAGACGGGCCCGTTCTGGCCAAAGCAGTTTTTCGTCTAATTAATGGGATATCATCCTCGTCCGAAAACGCCGCGTTGCTATCCTCATCACGAAGATACATTGTCGTAGCAGGTTTGGTAGCGGCGCTCGGCCCGGCAGCTCCTGTTAGGCATAAGAGCTCGCGACGTTGCAACTCCGTGGCATCTGCCGAACTCCTCACAACCGACGACGCCGACACACTGGAAGACCTAGATCTACGACCCCGACGACTATCAGGCGACTCGTTCAGAAAGCGGTCGATGGATTGGACAGCGGAGTCCTCGGTAGTACGAGACTGACGGTGATCGGAGAAGGAATCTCGGGAACCGGAGTTGGAAGACATTATCGGAAAAAGAAAGCGACGAACAGAAGAAGAGAAGAGAGAGAACGGAGAAAAATACCTTCTGCTGGTGCGGAGGAAGAATAAGAGAAATGAGGAAGGGGCAGAGTATTTATAGAGGGAGTCGGTCGAAGAAAAACCGCGTCATCATTGCCTCGAAGAACGATGTAATCATCACGTCTTCACCGCCCGTTACACGCAAACGATCCGGTTCCCGATTCCTCGAAAAAAGCAGCGGACGAACCAGAAGGCGCGTCCTCAACACGTGCCTCGGTAACACGCGAAGGGAGTTGAAGCGAGAACGGCGAAATGATTGCAACCCTAGCCGCGTCATCATTACGCACTAGGGTTGGGGGGCTACTGTTGATGGTAGGTTTTGGGCTCAAGCCCAAAACCCCTTGACGGGCTCACAATTCTCAGAAGCCCAAGGAAGGCCCAGCAAAATCCCTCCACCAACCAAAGGGTAAAAAAGACATTTCGCACACATAGGGTACCTACTCCCTGTACCCTATAAATAGAAAAAAGAGAATGATAGGAAGGGATCCCGAAATAACCGCTTTCACAGAGAATTTCGTAAAACCGTCAGAGCACTTTGCGGCTCGGCTCGTATACTCAGTTTTTAGCTCGTCTTTTTTTGTAATCGTCGGCTCGTCATTAAATAAGAGATTCTTCTTTCACCCTTAAGACTCCGAATACGTACTTGTGTGATTTTGAGGATCAACATTCAATGCCATGTTTCAAACTTCTAAAAACTAATGAAATATCAGTTTATATATGTAATAAACTAGTAATTAGAAGATAAATTTATGTAGTAATTAATAAACTAGTGTAAAAAAAAAGAGAAAAAGAAAACCGAATCAGTGGAAAATTGAAAAACAGAGAGAAAGATGGAAAAACTCAGAGAGAAGAAGAACGGAGAAACAGAGGCGCTCTGCGTTAAACAGTGAGGAGGAGGAAGAAGAAGAAGGAAGGCGGTTTACTAATCGAGTTGGTTTCTGGGTAAATCCGGTTTACTTTCGATGTTAAGCGGTTAATTTGGTTTTCGGCACAGTAAACCGAAGATAAACCACGAAATTTGAATTTATGGAGACTGAAGTCTCAAACTTTCAATTTAGGGGGAAACTGAAGTTTAACTTTCGTTTTGTGTGGACTGGAGACGAGACCCGAAATCTGTGTTATTATGGTACTATATGAAACTTCATGGGGGGACACATGTCGTTCAAACATTAATACTTCTACACCAGGTATGGGATTCGATTTCCAGATAACGCAGTTTTTTGCAGATTAATGGTGCAAAGCTTATCTGAGATTCAGAGTGCCGCATACTGAGCCGTTCGTAGTGGTCTCGAGTATTGCGGGGAGAGCATGTCAATCGTAGGAATGTCGTACATGCAGAACCATCCGTTGAAGATCCAAGTGTTCCGGAAAAGCTGCGTCGTGGAATCGTTGTTCGTGGGAGTTGTTCATCATATTCGTATATGCTGCATATAGTTAAATATTATCATGATAGAATTAGATTAAATATCTCTTATGATATAATAAGACGACAAAAAGAAAAAATCTTTTAAAATTAATCTTTAATAGTTGTTTATTATTAAAGAAAAAACTTATGGAAAGTATCGCAAACCATAATTTATATGAATCATCCTAAATTATTTGTAATTAATCGAAATACCCCAAACACAAATCTGATTCTTGCTCTTTTTGGTGGTAATTTTATATATTTGACTTATATATACTTTGCCCTATATCATATGACCCATTTTTGAAAAATCCAACTAAAATTAAAAAGAAAGTACATTAAAAAAACTTAAGATTAACTTTATTGAATACTACGTCATATGACGAACAAACAACAAAAATTTATTAATGATAAAAATGTCTAAATAATAATAGTTACATAACTTATAACGACCATAAGTCTAAACCAATGGCTAAAAATGCCAAATAGTTATAAGTTTTCAAATATTGATCATTTGAAGATCCTCGAAATGAGTAACTAACTCTCTCTCTTTTGTGTGCAAACGAGTAATTAACTCTTAAACATCAATTTTCTGGAATATAAAGAAATAAAGCTAGCCAAACGAATTTAAAAAGAGTTTTTTTGGGATCACCGTAGAAAAATAGTTGGAGACTTATATATATAATTACTTTACATGTAAGGTTTTCTACCATAACACAACAAAACATTTCTTTAAAGAGATAAATAATATTGTCGTCATCCAAAATTGCGGTATTTTGTATCATCCTCGTTTCACTCGCTAATCTTCATGAATGTATGTCATATAGTTTACATTTTGCTTATCACTAATCATTATTAGTTACCAATATTCTCCGTTATATTTTGAAATTCATTATTGCTCTTTTTATAAATAGGTCTTTTCAAAGATGACAAACCATTGACAAATCCTAGAACAGGAGAAAAGACAGGACAACCACCATGCAAACCAGAAAAAAATTATTTTGTCTGCTCATACCATGACATGAAAGTATATAGTATCGAAGATTGTTGGCGCATCTGCTAATAAATCTGAACAACCTAATTAAAACAATGAAATTGCATTTATATACCAATTTTTTTTCCTTATAATATAAATACTAAATATTCATGTGACTTCACTAAACAAAATAACGCCTACCTTAGTTTTGCTTAATAGCTTTAAAAGTCTCTATTTATTTACTTTATTTTCTGTTTTGTATTATTTATGCTCACCTTATTTCATTTTGTAAATTTTCATATATTATAAATGATAAATAAAATGATAAATAAAGTTTTGAATTTCTTTTGCTCATAATTACTTTCGCTATGACTTTTGTCAAAAAAAAAAAACTTTATTGTTTAAGTAATTATTTAAAACCAACGTCATGAAGAACTAAATTTAACTTCTTTTTTTGAAAGAGGCTTAACTAAATTTAATTTCAGAACATGTATTAACAAAGATAATAAAGTCTTTGTCATTTTTTTTTATAGCAAAAATAGTTCAATCCATTCAAGATAAAATTGAACGGTTTTCCTTCTGGAAAAAACTAGTCCGGAGTGGTGTTAAAAAAAAAAAACCAGTGCAGAGTTGCAGAGCTTTCATGGGAAAATATAGAAATGCGTGTTCGTGCCTTCTTTGCAAAGTAGTCAGCACGGGTGTTGTTACAACGTGGAATAAAAAATAAACTAAAAAAGGGAAAATGACTTCAAAAAGCTAAAATCTTCTAACTCTGACGAAAAAGCAAGTCACTCATCGTGAGTGTGTAAAACCTGAGTTAACTCCATGTAATCTGTCTTAAAACTAACGTCAAATAGAGAAAGTAAAATAAGAAAATCTCATTGCACAAAGGAAAGTCTCAAACTCTGCGTGAAGCGGGAATAAGCATCTACGAAAGCTCTTTAAACTTATATGAATCATAATTCGATTTGCTCTTAAATCCAACCAATACTACTTAGAGTGCAAGTATCCACCCAAGATCCATCTGCCTGGCAAACTGGAGAGTTGGCTGGGAGTGGCTCTGTGGAACGATGAGATAACTAGGGATTGCGGATCGTTTCGCGGGCTCGTGCTACTCGAAAAGATTCTACTTCCTTCGAGGCATGCTGAAACGTGTCGGCAAAGTGGGTGTCCTTGTTCTCAAATACCTTTGAGCTACGGGCCTACCAGACCAACCACATTATCCAAGCAAAGTTTCGGAAGGCTTTTTCACGGCCTCCTAATTCCTTCGCCCTCCAAAATAGATAGTCTAAATTCGCAAACTTAATTTTAAATTTATTGGATATTACATCATATGCCACTGGTACAAAGAACAAATAAATTAATCTATTAATGGTAAAAATGTCTTAACAATTAGATCTACTATCCCTATTATCAAACATAGCCTAAGAAATCTTATCCTACTAACCATATAACCAGACAAGTGGACATTATCATTTTAATTTAAAATGCATGTATTTTTTGGAAACCAAATCTTCACGCAACCTATTTTCAACTTCACTCAATATTTTTTACAGTTTGCACATTTGCTAGTACTCCAAAGTTTGCACTTTTGCTTATACCAACTGTCTCGAATACTAATCTGGAATTTGGAGTTCTAACTATGACAAGAGTCTCTAACAAATTAGCTTACGTAGCTTAGTATTATAATGTTTGGTGGGTAATTGATGAGACTCCTATAGTTATATTGATTGTTTGATTTGGTTACAAAAAGAATTACTATTGGGTGTATGATTCTAATACTGATTCTAATTCTAATACGGAAACATGTATTACGTTCTTCAAGGATGATATGTGTTTTGTTATATGGTTAGACTTATTGCATCTGTCTTTTTCTCGAATGAAGCTTGGATTTTGAACATGTTCCCCTTCTTATAACAAAATTATAATATTTACATAACTAATTCTAACGACCGTAAATCTAAACTAATGGCTAAAAATATTTAATTGTTATAAGTTTTCAAATGTTGATCATTTGCAGATCGAGTAATTAACTCTCTCATTTTGTGGAAACGAGTAATTAACTCTTAAACATCAATTTCTCCGAATATAAAGAATATAAAACTAGCCAAACAAATTTTTAAAAAACAGCATTTTTAGGATTACCCTACAAAAATAGTTCGAGACTTTTATATATATGTTTACTTTACATGTAAGGTTTTCTACCATAAAACAATAAAACGTTTCTTTAAAGAGAAAACTACAATGTCGTTATCCAAAATTGTTGTATTTTGTATCATCCTCATTTCACTGGTTAATCTTCATGAATGTATGTCATATAGTTTACATTTTCCCCATGAGTAATCATCATTAGTTACCAATATTCTCTATAGTATTTTAAAATCCTTTATTTCTCTTGTTATATATAGGCAATTTTTTTAAAGATGACAAGCCATTGACAAATCCTATCACAGGAAGAAAGACAGGAAAACCACCATGCAAACCACAAGGAGATCATTTCGTTTGCACTGGCGATGAACAGCTGACAACGACTACCATCGCAGGCTGTTGGAGGAACTGCTTAATATATAATTAACCCAACACCTCCTTTTCAAAGTTTTAAGAAATTTGAAGAGCAATTATATACCAATTTATTTCCTTATAGTACAGATAGTAAATATTCATGTGACTTCACTAAAAATAATTGTGCCTACCTTAACTTTGCTTAGTAACTTTAAATGTCTATGTAATATATACATAATACTAAATTTTTCATCTCTTTTTTTGTTTTATATTTTATTTGTATTATTTACGTTAACCTTATTCATTTTTTTTAAGTTGTCATTTATAATCTTTTTTTTTAATTTGTTTGCTCATAATTAACTTCTTTTTTTTAATTGAACGTAAAATTTATTGAAATCCCCAAAAAAAAACCACATCAGGTGCTGCATCTATTTGAGTTTTTGAAAAGGATTAGAAAAAATAAGTATTTCGACGAAAAAAAAGAGAGAAAAATAAGTTATAGCCTTTGATTATGTTTGTAAAATATGTTTTGAAGAATTGGTATAGCATTTTTGTAGTAAATAACGGACTAAGTTATAGCCTCTTTGTAAAATTGGGAAATTAAATTAGTTTACATTTTTATTTCATGGTTTCACTATTCTCAGTGCCATGATTGGATAAAAGTAAACGGGTCGGTTCAGGACCTTCAGGTCAAAGGAATTTGTTTCCTTTATGTTCGATTAAAGTTGTTGCATTTCTGGCCGAATAATCTCGATGTCAATAAAGTAAGACATTTGGGTTCTACAGTTTGCACATTTGCTTGTAATCCAAAGTTTGCTTTTTTGCTAATACCAATTGTCTCGAATACTAATCTGGAACTTGGAGTTCTAAAGATGAAAATAGTAACTCTGACAAATTGGCTTACGTAGCATAGTAAAATGTTTAATGTTTTGTGGTGTATGATTCTAATAATGATTCTGCTATTACGTTCTTCATGGATAATATGGTGTTTTGTTATGGTTAAACTATTTCTAATCAACTTAAGCATTTAAAACGCGATCTCATGCTAATGTATCTACTTGTTTGTGTAAAGTTCTTGTTATTAGTTTTAGGTTATGAGAGCGATCTTACTAATTGCTAATAATAACGACAGTAAATCAAAACCAATAGCTAAAAGTCTCTAATTGTTATAAGTTCAAATATTGATCATTTGGAGATCCTCGAAATTACAAGAGTAATTAACTCTCTTTTTTTGTGCAAATGAGTAATTAACTCTTAAACATCAATTTTCTAGAATGTAAAGAATATAAAACTAGCCAATAAATTTACGAAACCAGCATTTTTAGGATCACCTTACAAAAATAGTTGGAGATTTTATATATATGGTTACTTTACATGCAAGGTTTTCTACAATAAAACAATACAGTGTTTCTTTAAAAAGAAAAATTACAATATCGTCGTCCAAAATTTTGGTATTTTGTATCATCCTCATTTCACTCGCTAATCTTCATGAATGTATGTCATATAGTTTACCTTTTGCCCACCATTTATCATCATTAGTTACCAATGTTCTCTGTAGTATTTTAAATTAATTTATTTCTCTTGTTATATATAGGCAATGTTTTATAAGATGACAAGCCATTGACAAATCCTTTCACAGGAAGAAAGACAGAAAAACCACCATGCAAACCACAAGGAGATCATTTTGTCTGCACTGGCGCTGAACACCGGATAATGTATACAATCGCAGGCTGTTGGAGGAACTGCTGAACAACCTAGTAAACCCAACATCTACTTTTCAAAGATTTAAGAAATTTAAAGAACAGTTCTATACTAATTTATTTCCTTAGAATACAAATAGTAAATATTCATGTGGCTTCACCAAAAATAATTGTGACCCACCTTAATTTTGCTTAGTAACTTTAAGGAGGGGTTATTGGTTCATGGATTTATATGGAATTAGAAATCCAAACAAAAATCATTTGTTATTCAATCATTGATTTTAAAATCCTAATTAAATTCATGTGTTATTGGTTCTATGATTTATAAATACTAGTTAAAATCATATGTTATTCGTTTAGTCATTTGTTTTTGGATTTGAGAATCCAAATTATGTTTTAAATGGAATTGAATGGAATTGAAAGAGAAAAATAGAAGGATTCAAATCCATGGGTAAACACATGTTATTTCAAAATCCATATATCTTGATTTCATAATTAATAGAAATTTTCAAATTCTATATGGATTTACAAATTAATAAACCAATAACACCCCCTAAATTTCTATGTAATAAACCAATAATATTTTTCAGCTCTTTTTTATTTTATACTAGGTAAGAACCCGTGCTATGCACGGGTGTATCTTAATCTATTTAGTTTTATATACAATTTTATTAATAGTAAATTTATCTGTTTATATAGTATTTTTCAAATAATCGGGTCTCCCAATCGAATTCGTGTGACAGTCGTGGGTTGATAACTTAATAATATTTCAATCAAAATATATATATATTTATGTATATAATACTTAATTTTCTTATCATTATTCTAATTTATAATTTAAATTTTAAACACACACATATTAATATATGCATAGAAGATACATATTTTACTAGAAAAGTATATCTATAAGTTTGGTTCCTTTATTTTATTTCATTTGTAAAGACATCTTATTTTGGTTGGAATTTTTAAAAATTAACTGTTGATATTTGTTGTGAAAAAAACTAAATTCATTAAAAGTGGAAGAAAAAATAGAATGGTGATATTCAAAACATATTTACAAAGATAATAATGGTGATATTCTGTATACTACAAGAAATGTTTCAACAGTGCAAGAAAGGTTAACAAGAAAAACACAAAGAAACTCGAAATGACTAGAAGAAAAATGTTCTTAGCTTGACTGAAGATCATAAAGACCATTTTTGTTGTCGTCATTTTGATCCTGTAATGATTTTTTGGTGATGATTTATAAATTCTGCTTCAATGCCATGTTCCAAAATCTTCAAACTGAAGCTAATACATTATTTATTCTACAACACGAAAATGTCTCGCCGATGCAAGAAATATGGAAAGAAAACAAAACTTGAAATGATCAGAAGAAAAATGTTATCAGCTTCTTTGAAGGATGTCTTTTTTTTTTCAGTGAAATTGCGATCTAGTTAGCTGCTGCAGCAGCTGGTTTGTTTGCAAATGCGACACCCTTCTCGATGCTAGCTTTCAGTTCTGGTTTAAGAGCTTCTAGTGCTTTCTGCTCATACTCAGTTAAACCCTGAAGGTCTGACTCAATCACAGCTTCAAGACCGTTCTTCCCAAGCTTGATCCGCGATGCAAAGAAAGGAAGATCAGTCAGAGTTGACTCCACAAACGAGCACTCATAGACATCTCCGTCTCCATCAAGAGCACGGAGAGATGACTCGACAAATCTTGCTGCAGCATATGCCATTGACAAAGTAGCTGAACCAGCACCTGCCTTAGCATCCACAACCTCAGTTCCAGCGTTCTGAATCCTAACTGTGAGCTCTTGGATCTCTTCATCGGTAAAGTTCACAGATGGTTTTGTTTTTGACAGAAGAGGCAAAATGGTGATTCCAGCATGTCCACCAATAACCGGAACATCCACATCAATAAGCTTAAGGTTCTTTTTCTGAGAAACAAAAGTGTTAGCCCTCACAACATCCAACGTAGTGACACCAAACAACTTCTTAGGATCATAAACACCTTTCTTTTTCAACACTTCAGCAGCAATCGGTACCGTAGAGTTAACCGGGTTACTAATAATATGAATAAAAGCATTAGGACAGTTATCAGCAACAGCTTCAACAAGCGTCTTCACAATGTTGGCATTGATGTTGAAAAGATCATCACGAGTCATACCCGGTTTCCTCGGTACACCAGCAGGAATAACAACAACATTCACATCTTTCAAACAATCAGCCAACTCAGAAGGACCGGTGAAATCACGAACTTGAGAAGGAGTATTACAATGACTCAGATCAGCAGCAACTCCTTTAACATTCGCAATATCGTAAAGATGAAGCGTCGAAACTAACGGAGACATCTTGATGAGAAGTGATAAAGGCTGACCTATACCACCAGCAGCACCAAGAACAGCTACTTTGTACGAAGCATTGATTTTGAATCCGTAAGGCTTCTTGTCAGATGTTTGAGCTTTCGTTACGGAACCGCGGAGAGTCTTGGTTAAGGAAGAGGCATCAGATCCAGAGATGAGAGACGTTGTTGATCTGAGACCGGTGAAGCTAGGGACTGAGTTAAATTTCACAGCTTGGAGTCTTGAATGTGGTAAGGAACTGGGTTTAGAGGAGTAAGAAGAAACAGTTGAAAACAGAGATGCTGCTGATGTTGCTGCTGCCATTTTTGTTTTCCCCTGTTTTCACAACAGATTCATATCATATAACCCTAAAAAAAGTTCAAATCTGAGGACACGAATTAGAAACCCTAATCGATGAGAGACGTAAGACCAGATCGAATTTCATAGGAGACTCCGCTAAAATCGTAAATCTAAGAATCTAATCCAAACATAAAAGAAACGTGAGGTTGAGAATCTAACCTTGGACACGAAGACGAGAGAGAGTGAGAGAGGCTTCTTCAGGAATTTGATTTGGGTTTTGCTCTCGGTTCGCTATAGACTCAGTGAAGAAGAAGAAGAAGAAGAAGAAGGGGATTAGGTAGGCATGTCAATCGGGCTAGCCCGGCCCGACCCGGCCCGAAGCCCGCAAAACCCGTACATATTTGAGTCCGGCCTAGCCCGGCCCGTAAAAATTCCGAGCCTATATTTTAAAGCCCGGTCCGGCCCTAACAGGGCTACAGGGCTTTTTCGGGCTTTTTTGGGCTTTTCTTCCGACAACAAAAAAACAAACTTATAATTTATAATATCTCTTAAAAAAAGAATCTATATATGAAACGAGTCAATCAAAATTTAAATAACCACTAACACTAATTTAGTTTTTTAAAAAGAGAGTTAAAATCAAATAAATAATCCAAATAAATTTTTTAAACTTATACTAGATAAAATATAAAATAAAAATAATTCAAATTAGGTAGTAGAGATAATATTTGTTTCTTAGATTTATAGTAATACACAATTAAAAAACTAAGTTTAGAATTTTCAACTCTATCAAAACTTTTTTTACAACAAATCTTACAACTAAACGAAAATATTAACAAAAAAAAAGGTCTAAATATTTTTTAAAGGGCTTTTTGGGCTAGCCCGAGCCCGGCCGGGCTAGCCCGAGTCCGGCCGGGTTAAGCCCAAAAAATCTTTTAGCCCGAACGGGTTTAGTCCGAAAAGCCCGATTTTTTCTGGACATATATTTTGAAGTCCGAGCCCGCTGTTTTCTAGGGCTTTGGCCCTAATTGACATGTCTAGGATTAGGTAACGACGATGGAGAAACAAAACCTTATTTAAAAAAAATATAAATAAAAAGGAAGCAGATCTGTGTTTGGTTGTCTCGTAGGATCCGCCAAGAGGGTGATGTGAAACTTGAGTTGTGTCCGTATGACAAACCAAACGTTGGGTTTTACCTTAATATCGATACCACGGGCTCTTTCGTCACATCAAGTTGTTGTTGTTGTGGGGTGATGAATATTTCTTGTGTAGTTCATCTTTTTTTTATTTTTCGTTGACAATAGTTAGTAATGTAATTCTTACAGAGACTGTATCAACCTACATTTTTTCTTATCAATATGTTTTATATTTAAAATTTTATAATTTTGTAAATTACATTGTTTTAAAAATATCTTTATTACAATACTATTTGGAAAATATATGAAATTCAGTTGGTAAAAATGCGGTTATAAACTTTGTAGGGTTAAAAAAATATAGAAAGTTTATAAGTTGATAATATAAGTGCCAAAATTTTGAAAATAATTTCAATATTTGATATCATAGCGGTTTGAGTCAAACATACTGTTATCTGAATATATATATTAAAATAGAAAATAATAACTTTTAGAGCATAACTTAAAATTAATAACAATATCTAAATATAATCTGAAATATGTTAACGTATTAGTTTAAGTCAAACATACTGTTTATTTTTGTTATCGATTGTCGCCTTTTTTGGTATTGAAATTCTTTACCATTTTCATCTTAATATATTTTGAATGATACCCATGCAAGTGATACACATAGTTAGTGCAATGGTTAATTGGTTAGAGTTATGTAATCACATCTTATATAAATTTTAGAGTTCACCTTCTAACAATCATATCAGTTAAAAATAATTAAAACGTTAAGTATATGTTTAATAGTTTTATTGTATCTCGGCAAAACTCTGAACTACAATTTTTTTTGCTTGTCTATAAACTCACAACACCTACTCGGAGATGTACGGTAACATTTCGAGGTATCTTAATTACCTCTCTTTTTTGCATGTCCCTCTATATTCCTATCTCATCGACAATTAGGGTGTTGCATATATAAAACTTCAATTATGTTGTTGTTTTACTTTAAACCACTCTTTTTCCACATCAGTGTTTAGTTTTAACTCTTTATTTTGTACTGATCAATAAAGTATCACATTGCAAAAAATGTATGGCATAAAACATGACGAGGATATAAGATATACCAGCAAGATTAAAAATATATATATATATATATATATATATATATATATATATATATATCAGCAAGATATAAATTTGAATATATTTCTAGACTAAGATGTTAACTAACTCAATTTGATAAATATAAATCAAAAGGAGAGTAGTGTCTTCTCTTTATTTTAATTTTTTTTTTACGCCAGTCTTATATTATTTGGCCGTAAATCAATTATATCCTATCACCAAATTGAAAATTAAAGGCTTGTACATATCATCCATATATATACAATAGCATCTCTGGATTTAATAACTGAACTACATAAATAAAACTATGCTTTTGTCCCAAGAGTAGACAAGTATATAGTCTAATCGTCTCCGATGTTAAACTAACTCAATTCATAGTCCGTAATAATAATTAGAAGTAGCTACTTATACATCAAATTTTATCGATACCATAATATATATTAATTAATTTTTCTTCACATTATATATCTATCAGCAATCGACGACGCAGCCTCGTTGTCGTGGCAAGTGGCGATTGTTGGCACCCGAACCTGGATAGTCGTTTAACTCCATCACCACTCTTTCTTCTACCTCCTTCACATCCTAATAACATTATTTTAAACAGCCAAATTTAAATCTTTAATAACAAAATTATAACCTTTCAAGAACACATATACCATATGTATATACATAGCTTAAGAACTAACCATTAGTGTGAAAAAAAAAAAAAAAAAAAAAAAAAAAAAAAAAAAAAAAAAAACTAACCATTAGTGTATCTTGTGGAGGTAGATCAATTTTGGGCTTCTCCATCAAACTCCCAAGTCCTATATACATACAAAAATATAGATGATATAAGTTAAAACATATGATGTAAATATTTATCACATAAAGTACGATTTAAGAGAGATGAAGATCTTACTCGAAGCATGGGAAGGGAAGAAGAAGATGTGTGATAGAGACAAGAAGAAGATCACGAGGAGATGGATGAGAGCTTTGTTGGCCATTTGACAATGAAGAGTTATGATAAAAAAAAAAAAAAAAAAAAACTAGTTAAAACCTTGATGTTGTTGTGAGTTTTGTTTCTTTTTTTTTTCCCAACTTGTTTTGAGTTTTGTCTTTGTGGTGGTTTCTTTTATAGTTCTGTGCTTCCTATTTGCGCATTTTATACTATCATCGTGGTGGCGCTTTAATCACTAGATTAAATATGGAACGTTTTTTTAATCTGATTTGGAGTGCTATAATATTTTGTATCAGCCCATCAAGATGTCGAAACTTTAAAAGAACATATACAAAGAAACAAGGAATCGACGCGGTTTCACTTTTCCACGTTTAATATTCTATATAATATAAGATACTAACTATAATTACAATATGAAAAAAATGTGTGTATACTCCATTATACATAAGCAAAATCATTGCTTGAATGTTCATTCAGATTAAACAGATATTTCAGAGTTTTGAATTTATCAAGATTATAGTCAATATAATGTTGCTAGTTTTGAGGATTTTTGTAGAGTTTTCTCTTCCTTCAAAGTATGAATATCGTATGCATATGTAAATGATCAATGTTTGACAAAAAAAAAAAGAGTAAATTATCAATAAGAAACTTGTAGATGATGGATGTTTAAAGTAGTGGAATTGTGGGAGCCAATGGGCGTGACCACTTAATTACGCGTGTCTATTTTATAGTTAGTCATTGACATATGCATACGATATTCATACTTTGAATAAAGAGAAAACTCTAGTACTCTAGTGCTTTGGAAGTTCACGTTTAATTTGCTTTGTTCAATTGTCAATTGACTACTCATAGTTTTCACTAATGTTAAGGATATTAACTATATGCAATTATAAATGACTAAATTTGTGGAACATATACTTTCTTTTTTTTTAAATAACATGGTACACTAGATTGAAATTTTATTCATCCACCATCTTGATTCTGGATTTCATGAAATCAAATATTTATATACTTAATAGAAATGTATCTTACAATACAACCGATAAAACAAAAACAACACTCAGGTGTTGTTTTTGTCTCACGGTCACCGTGGCTCCTCTCTGAAGCATCTTTTAGAGGTTTGCAAGGTTTTTTCATCTAGGTTTAGGTTGTCGTAAAGAAAGTCTTCTAGTTTCAAATCTGTAATTCTATCATTGTTTTAGGATATGTATGTTTAGTTTGAGTCTTTGGGTTATGAGTCCGGAAGGTAATCGAACAGATGATATGTATTTGTTTGTTTGGGTTTTTTCCCTTTGTTTCACCTTAGTTTGGTCCTTATTTTTGGGAGTCTTCATGTATTTACTAGTTTAGTCTCTGGAAGGATTGTTTCCTTTACCGACTCTTGTATTCCAACCTTTAATTCTATCAATGAAATCTATATCTAGTGAAGAAAAAAAATACAACCAATAAATGAAACTATTTGTATGTAAAAACTTTCTTACTTCAATAAAAAATTTCGAAGATACACTTATATCTTTATTGACGATCACCATAATGGAGGATAGCTAAGCAGAGACAGTAGTATTGAAAAATATTTAAACCATTTTCAATTGTTTAGACATGTTGACAAAGTATACATATCAATGTATATAATTAGTCCATTTAAAGTCATGGCACTAACTCCTAATGATGTTTTATGATCACTTCACGAGTTTGGCTTCTATAATAGTTAATACATCATACCGCTTACTCTTAGCCTATACGGCATTCATTTTTATTTAGATACAACCTTTTTTCTATTCTTTTACATCTTTTATAAAATCAAACCTCAAAAGTAAGTACTACTTAGTACTTAGAAATAATTCATATATTTAAAAAAAATTAAAAGGCTTTTTTTTAACTGAGTAGTGACTAGTAAATCATAAGTTTTTGATCCCACCAAAAAAAAAAAAATCATAAGTTTTTGATTCTCTACATCGAGAAGATCGAAGGCATTGTTAATTTTTGAGAATTATGGATCTATAATTGTTCCAACAACGTGGATTAGCTGTTTTTTTAATTAAGATCCCACCAAATAAAGCTAGCTTTATGGCCATATGCATGCACTGCTTTTTCGGCAAAATGTCAAAAACATCACCAAAGATTTGTGTTCTTGGAAAGTTAATTTCGCCTTTGTATTTTAAGTCAACAAGAAATTTAATAAAAATTCAATAGTGGCCTTTGGATCGCATCACACCTTCTCTATGTGTTCACCAATATAATATCACTAATCATTTTTGATATCCTTTTCTTAATTGAGATTAGCAGGAAATACATTTTAAGAAACCACTAGAAAGGGACTACCAAAAAGAAAGGGATATTTTTTAGTTTTGAGTGTTGAGGAAAGTTCCTCCTTAGAGAACACTTAGATATAATATTAGATAGACTTAAGTGGACGAATGGTTCCACTTCGGTTTCGGGTTGTCCGAGTTTGGTCGATTGGTTAACAATTTCTGTAAAACGAATTGTTTTTGGTAAAGAATTTGGTTAGATTGTTGTAGCTCAAACAATTCGTTTTTTTTTTTGTTTTTGTTTGCCAATCCTCAAACAATTCATTTTTAATTCAAATATACATCTTTAAAATGATATAATTTTAACCATTTGAAATACCAAAAATTATTCAAGGTTGAGCATTTTAGGATGATAATAAGTATAATTAATGTTCAAATTGTTGCTAAGTACACTCGGAATTTTGTTCTTCTTCTCTATACAATTTAACTAAAATAAAAACAAAATGTAAAGAAGACTTCAGTTCCTTGTTATAAAATTTGACATGCAACTAAAATATATTTTCGAGTAGTTATTCCTTTTCTTTTTTTTTTGCGTGAGATAATGTATTATTGTATTTAGTTATGTAGTCGAAAGTATATCCGATTTGAGTTAGAAGAATATTCTTTATGGTGCTAATTTTCAATTTTACCAAACAGTGAGCGTTTTAAGGAGAAGGCTTGAAAGGTGTCAAAAAGGGAAGGCTTTGAGGTTTTAAATGGGCTAACATATGGACCTTTAAATGGGCTTTCAAGAAGAGATGTGGTGGAGCACTAAATATGCTTAATGTGGGATCGAATATCTTTTTGAATAATTGATTTTACATGACACTTTTTTGTATTTCTCAGAAACTTCGAGAGATAAAGTAACCAAGTAGAAAATAAGGGTTTTCAGGATTCAGTCCATCTTCTGGCTTTTGATAGAAGTTAGGGTTTCTAATTTTTGTTGTTTTTTGTCCATGTGTTTGTAATAATGAAGAATTGAATTGTATACAAATAAAAATACTTTTTCCAACATTAAAAAAGGTACTTTTTCTATATATATATAGGTTTCCTTGTATATGTATATCTGTTTAATATGCAAATATTGACATGAAACTGTAAAAATTTGCTTCAAAAATACAAAGCGATTAAAGAGAAATGGTTGCAACCTTCCTACTAACAATTGGCCGCAATTCGATAGACACACAATTTAAAGAGACACATGTTCATTTGTAAGTTAATTAGTCTATACATGTCAATCTTACAATTGATAAAACAGCTTATGTGTTACTACCCCAGAGCTAGAGACATTTCACATTACAAGACGTTTTATTGCATTGATTTTTTAAAGTAAGCCACGATTCGTGAAGTAAAATCACACTGTTTTGTCGTTGGAAAAAAATCAAGTAAAATTATCTGATTAATCAAAAGAAAAAAAAAAGAAGGAAAACTAGATAGAAAAGGTGTTGTTTTAAATGTAGCTCCCAAGGGGACGCAGCGTCCACATCTCGCCAGTCGTGCTGTGTAAAGGCACAGCTTAGACACAAAGATGGCTTATCTTCACATATACTATTATTTATCTTGTGTTTATTTAAATAATCTTTTTATACATGAAAAACCTAATATTCCAGAAGTACAAATGTGTACTACACTCAGATAAGAAAACAGATTGAGAATAATTAACTGAGCAAACAAGTATGATATTTCACTTATTAATTTTCGGATAATTATGCTCTTGGTTAAGTCTAAAGAGTTTTCCAAATAACTAACATTTGTTCATGTGTACCAAGATTACAAAATTTACAGAGTTAAGCTCAATAGAATTCTATGTTGACCAACAAAAAGAAAGAACTTGTATATATGCTCTTAACGATACTATTTTCCAATACTCCCTCCGTTTTCGAAGAGTTATTGTTTTAGATAAAAAATTTTGTTTTTAATTAGTTGTCATTTTCAGTTTTCGATGCAAAATTAATTAGTTTTTTATTTTTATATTTATTTTTACTATGCAACTTGATTTACTATTGGTTAAATTATGTTTAGGTAGATAATTAATGATATTTTTATATTAAAAAACTAACAACATTAATAGTTTCTTAATTTGTGTGCATATAGTTAAAACGACAACTATTTGAAAAAGAAGGGAGTATTAATTTCTATAATTTTTAGGAAAACAATAATAGTACCTATTTTTTCTTGGAATAAAAAAATGTCACAGAAAACAATAGCATTAAATGGTACAACTGTTTTGGCATAGCAAGCCAAAATATTAATGGGGAAAAAGGCATCTAAAATATGTATTTTCTATTTGGCACTTATTTGGAGAGGTACCGAGAAATTTTTAAATATCTTATTAGATAAATATATTATAGTTTAAAGGTGTTGTGAAAACATACTTGATTTTCTTTTTTAAATGGCACGTTCGGTATATAATATCTCCTTTGGGATGAGGGTTAATTTCAAAATTTCATTTTACAGTTAATTTTACAAAATATTCCACCTAATAAATTGTAAAAGAAATGAGAAGTATGTAATACTAATATCTAAGAAGTAGTAACATCTATTTTTCCCCTCTAAATATCTTCACAATCAGATGTTACATATTAGCTAAAAATGCTAAAATTCGTTAGTTAGTTCACCATTTTGTTACTATTTAAAGAAAATAATAAAATTACTAGGATGTGATGGCAGTGGAACACGTGAAGGGTTCTGATTAGATCGAGGAAGAAAAAGACATCAATCTTTTGTTGAAATCCATGAGCAGGTGTGACAGAATCCAACGTGGCTAAAGACAGACTTTTTGATTTAGATCCTCCAGAAAAACTCAAGTTGGTAATTGTACAATGTGGCAGAGACCTAAAAAACCTTTTTGTTCACACCCAATTGCTTATTGACACGTCATTAAATCCAACCTTTGCTTTTTTTTTCTCTCTTCTTATCCAAACGTGTACACCTGAATACCTGATGGATCCAAATCATGCCTAAGGATGCTCTTAAATCTCTTTTATGTTTTTTTTTATCATCAACAAATTCTTTAGAACAAAACCATCATAAACTACAAGTTTAATGATAA